ATGATGCAGAAGCCCTTGGAGGGGTGAGGCAGTGTGGGGGAGCGGTTCATGTAACTGTAATCTGACCATTAGATGTTGTGGATCATTACACATTGTAGCCTTAAGGTAATTTCATGTCAAAGAAAGTGTAAAATATTGCTCTTTGTTGTCAGTCTTTCACCATAACCACTGCTGTCCACAATCTGCTACGACCCTCAGTGAATCATGAGATTAATTTATCCATTTATTTCCATCCTTTGATCCTGTTGTTTATGCAGCACCCAGTCCTTTGAAACATTTTATAAATTTTGTTTTTTATTCATTGATTTTTCCATTTATCTATCATTTTTTGTATTTCTTTCTATTAAATCTAACCAAGAGTATGACAGACACCCGTTGTTTACATTACACCTTTACTGTTATCTCCTAAAGAGTTCAAAACCCAGAGGTTGTTCTTTCCACTCCCATGCACCCTGCCTTTACACCAAAAAGAAAAATGCATTATTAGTTTTCTGCATTGTGGGCTGCATGGCGGCACAGATTGTAGCACTGCTGCATTACAGCAAGACACTATTGGGTTTCATTCCTTAACTGTGATATTTCTGCATGGAGTTTTCATGCCCTTACAGGGACCTGAAAAAAGAAATTCACATCCAAATGTAAAATCTCTTGCTATCTGTCAGTTACATCATCTAGAAACTCTAACAAATGAGATAGCTTTCATTCCTGAGTGACATGCAGTATGTTAGCCCTGAAACACAATTCTGGTGTGAATACAAGAAAAAATTTCTTATTTGTCTTGTGTGCCTTCTTCTTCATTGTGATCCATGAAATATGAGTAAATATATCTTGAAATAGATGTATTTTTTTCTTTTTATGAGTAGATAAGTAAGAAAATTTACAAATGGAATAAATGATTTATGTTTAAGATAAGGGAAAAAGTCAACATTATCTTTTTTTAAATGCAAGATATCTAATTATCTTATTCCTAATTTCTACCATACTGAAGTGAAGCTGCATCATTTCTGTGTGGTGAAAAAGTTGCAATGAATAAGACAACCTTTATTTTTTAATGTAGGTCCCAATTAAAAAGAAATGGAGCATATTCCATTTGGCATTTATGTTAGGTTCTAACTTGCACTGACTAGTGTTGCTAAGCTTCCAGCATTTTACTCATAATCAGTGTCTAAAATATGCCTCCCTGAGCGAGTCATTTAACGTCTACCAGTAAGAGAGATATACTAAGTCGTTAATCTTGCCTGTCACCTGCTGTGACAGCTGACATTGATGTATTAGTAAGTGGTTGCTGATGTTTACACATTTCTCAGTCATGGGGAGATGACATTAATGCACTAGCTATGATACGTCTCTTGCTTTACCACTAACTCATTAGTTAGTTTCCTTTATTCAAATATCTGTAAAATTAGTACAATATTAGAATCTACCAAAGTGTATCTTAGAAAAACACATAAAAAAAACACATAATGGAGGCCAACAAATACACCACAAACACGAACAGTCCAGTTATAAAGTTATAAGGAAGATAAAAAAAAAAGGATTCAGTTATAAATAAATCTCTCAAGTTTTCAGCAACCCCCAGATCTCTGCTTCATCAGTAATCTGAGAACGGAAAGACCTCCGAACCTGGCAAGGCCGAGGTAAACCAAGAGGCTCAGGAAGGACATTATTAATCTGAGAAGCAGCCAAGAGGAGGATGACAATGTTGGGGCGCAGGAGATGTCATCAGAACTGATTCTTATGGAGGACTGACAAGAGTAAAGCTTTTTCTGTGGAGGCTTATCTTTTGGTATGCTACAAGCCATGTAGGAGATAAAACGGGTAACTGGCGAGTAACCGGTGGGTTTTAAGACGATAAACAACCTAAGTCTCAGGTCAGGACCACCAAGTTGATGGTTTATGGTTGAGTTGGACTTACAGCTGGACATTGGGTGCTACAAGTTTACACTTGTAAGTTGAGCACATTTTGTCTTGTGTGCCCATGGCTTGTCCAGTACAATGTTTTTAAGGTGTACTTTCTAGCTAATATCTAAGTAGCTCTAGGGTGACCAGATTTGAGTTACTGAAAAGAAGGACAATTATTTTGGGGGGGATGGGGCTTACTGGACAAGACCGGGCACTCGAACCGAGCCATCATCCCGTCGGCGGAGTTGACGAACTAGCCCCGGAGCTCACGGCTCGGTTCTGCTGCACTGTAGGTAGTCAACCAAAATCCCGGACAATTTTGAAATTCCCACCCGGACATTTTTTTTTAGGTATGAAAACAGGACATGTCCGGGAAAAAGAGGACGTCTGGTCACCCTAAGTAGCTCAAGCATGTCAAAGTAACAACCATATTAATGGCACAATCTAATGTTTTGCATCAGATTGTTGCAGCAGGCATTAATGGTCCATTAACATGTGCTGTCAGGTTTAGCTTGGTTTGGCTGCAATGCTGGGATTGAGATGAATGATTTAAACTGGATTGCATGTATTTGTGTCTCATCTAATCTCAGCTCTTTGCCCAAAGGCTGCTCTAATTTGATTGGCTCTTCTTTAGAATACTAATGATGGGTTGTATAGTAAGACCATTTCACATTTTCTATTCCTTCAAAAGTCATAGTTTTCCGTACTATTTGTTGATTTTCTTGGAACCCAGTCCAGTTTGTTAAGTTAGTTAAAAATAAGACATTCAGGAAATGGTAGACAACCACCATAAGCCTACTACTGTATACTATACCTGAAGATGACCAAGTGGATGGATCTGTCTAGGAAATAAATGGGACAGAGTAACACTTTTAAAGATAATCTGTAGTTTAATTGCTTGACAAATTTCTAAAAAACTCAGACGTGAATCCATGCAGCTTTCGCCATTAACAGTTTTTGGCATGTTCAATGTACAATAATTTTTTCACAGAAGGAAAGTGTGTTTTATGGGGCATTCCTCCATGATGCAACATAGTAGTGTTTGTGTTTCCAAGCAACCTGCTTCACTAAAGAATATAAAGCCAATAAATCAATGATTCCGTGCAGCATTTAATCCTTTTTTTCTCCCATTTTGGAAAATATGAAGACTTTAAATGTAGGAATGTGAATGATTTTGATAAACCAATGGCTTTAGCTTGTATATACATAAACGCGTTGACCCCAGCTACAAATGGTGTAAATTTGAAGCAATAGTTTTAACAAAGAACAGCAGACAAAAGCTTGAGGAAAGACTGACAAAGCCACCGTTGTTTCCACTGTTGTGTCACTGTGAGAGTCACACTGGAATTATTCAATCCAGTCCTCTATGAATGACATATTCATTCAGGAGATAAACGGTACGTGCAGCTTACAGCACAGAGAGTGCTTTGAACTGGAGATCTCCTTCAGTGACTGACTGCTGCATCTTAATGCACAAAGGAGCGCTACCGTAGATCCTTCCTACCAGCATCTTTGTAACCCTCGAAATATCAATACTCCCAGCAACCTCCATATTTGTTTACATATATGCTTTTATTAAAACTTTTTTTTGTTACACATATGCTTCTACTTGCGCTGTTTTTTTTGTTTTTGCATACTTTTAACATTTTTGTTAAAATGTGCACATCTCATTTCTGCTGCTGATCTGACTGCCCCTTACTGTAAGATAGTTGTTTTAAATTAACCATTTGTACATTTGTTAAATATTTTAATACCTCATATTTTTAACAGTTACAGTGCAGCATTTTCAGTCTTTATTTTGCTTTTTACACACTTTAAAGTTCTATTTTTTTGTGAGTCTTTTTAAATGTCTGCCTTTGCATTTCCTCATTATGGGCAAAAGAGGAATTTACTATTCTTCCCATTCTATTCTATTCTAAGTTCCTCAATCACACCTACAGTACATATACTGTAGGGATTCGCATTCAACAGTTTATCTACACTATAATGATGTCAATCATAAGGACCTTGGAGCCAGCAGGGAGGAGGGTTAGAGTTTTACTGAAGAACATCTTGGCAGTGGGCTTAAACTGTCTCTAATAGAGATAATCAAAGACACAATTCTATTTGACATGCTTCAAAGAAAGAAATGCTTTAGGGTTACTCACAAATTCTCACATTGATGTGTTCACCAACTTTCTAACTATTGTGTGAAATATATTACTTCAAAAAGTGCCAAAATGTTTTTTTGTGAGTCTGTTTTCAAATATTCCATTAGAGTACCTTAGTATTCATTGAGCTCAAGTAGGACTTCAAAAGAGAGCTACGTCATTGAGAAATGTCTACGTATAATAAGCTAATATCTAGTATGAAAATAAATTTCCAAGTACAGCATAGATGCACTGAAAGAAGAATGTATGTGGAATGTAGAAAATAGGGCCAAATCTCAAGGTGCCAAATTATAAACATTAAAATAGTGCCATTAAATTGATTAATTTATTAGTTAGAAAATGCTCTACTGTAAGGAAAGAAGTGTTGAAGAAAAAGTACCTGCTACTATTCTTGTATGGCAGAGCTTCCCAGACATTTCAGCCTGTGAGCCCAAATTTAATAATTAAATAGAACCCCTAAAAACAGGATAAAATTACTTCATGCCTTATCTATTCATAAATACAAACTGAAATAATTTTATTAATCTTTATTTTATGTGAAAACTAAAAGGGAAATTTAATTATTTGAATAATTTGCAAACATGGCATAGGCAGATAGATAGATAGATAGATAGATAGATAGATAGATAGATCTATCCATGCTTACTGATTTGCATGTCATGTTTTGTGAATTATATATTCGATATTTACTCTAATTGCTTAGCAACCAGAACTTTTTCACTCCAATTATATTTGGCCAGTCATCCCAAATTGTACATGAATAAAAAAAAAGCATTGTAGAGAACAAAAGCAATGTTTATTAAAAAACCACATTTCTCTTTGTTCTTGTGAGCATTAGATGTCAGATTTACACATATACAAATTGTGGGTTTTGTAGCAAATATACTTTCTATTAAGACAGCAGCAGCAGCATTGGCTTGTACAAAAATACACCTTTCGTTTTCACAAACCTTACCCAAAGAATCAAGATAATATTAATATATATTTATACATATATCTGTGTCATAAATATGCAGAACTATACAGGCTGAACACAATTCACGGTAGTGGAGTTAATTATATATATATTTATGAAAAAACAAGGATAGAGTACTTTTTAAGAAACTTAAAACAATCGACCCCTTCTTCTATTTTAACAAATAAAAACACATAACAGTCCTAAAACCTTTTCAAACAGATTTAAATGCATATGTTTTTCTTTTGCTGTAATAAAAAGTTTAAATGTGTTCATTTTTTTTGCAATCAATAGACATTTTTGGCAAATTTTGTTTAGATACAGAGAGGATATAAACCCAAACAGCTGTACTCTTGGGAAATTGTGTGGATTTCTTCTTAAAAATATAGAAATGCTAAAAAAGTAAATATGAAAACACATTTTGATGAGGGATGCACAGACAAATTAGCTGTTAAAAGAAAAGAGCATATTTTTTTCCAGCTAAACCTGGAGCCACTGGGCTCTCTCCTTACTTAACCTGACCAGAGTCAAAACTTAAGAATCTGATCTTTTTCCTGTCAGTGAACGCAACATATCAAGCATCTACATATCGAAAAGATGCAGGAAATATGAAGAAGTTGGCCTTAAAAACTAAACTAGTGTTTGGAAGTCCTCTTAGATTCAACTGTATTTAATTTTTTTATTTTTTGCTAAAAATGACAATTAAAAACACCAAATTAATTGTTTTAATCCTAGATAATAACATTAATATTAGGCAAAGATATCAGTGTATGCACAGCAAAGCTTTACAAACCATAGAGATAATCGATCAAGAAGCCTAATGTATGGATCTCTCATTTTGACCTTCTGATCATGGTCACATATTTCCAAACCAGAGTTACTAAGTAAAGCACCTTGCTGTGTGTGAGTGGAAGGCGAGCATACTTGAATAAATAACCGTAAGAGTTTGAAAAATACTTATAAAGCGTTACCCTGTAGAAAAGGAGTAGTTTACATAATAAAAGCATCTGTGTAACAGAAACATAAAAAGAGCATCCACTTGTTTTCTTCACTGTTTCAAATGAAACAAAATAGAAAAAAAGTTTTTTTTTTCTGAAGGAAGATGGAAACATGAATATAAGTAAAAAAATAAAGCTGCTAATTTAGCCCATAGGTTAAGGAAAAGCTGTTATAGCTGAATTAATTGTTCAGAGCTCTAATAATTTCTAAATATTTGGAAAACATTCCTAATCAACCTGCGTATCTGTACCTTTTGAAAATAATGAGTACCAACAAGTGTACTTTACAACATAAAACAACGTGAATATGGAGAATATAATACCAGTATTGAAAACAGCTGCGCATGAGTCAACATATTTCATTAGAAAAACATGTCCTCCATTTACAGGTGATCTGTACAGTGTTCTTATTTACACGTATGACTCTTCGGCAAAGAAAAGCTGTTCAAAGTCCTCCAGTCGTGGGTCGCTGCACCGCCGGCTCTGCCACTCCTTCTTACCCTGCGCGATCGCTACTGCTACCTCCTGACTCCTCTGAAGGCAGGAGTCAGCGTCCGCTTTACCCTGCGAGGAGAAGTAGTCCCTCACCACCCGAGTGGCGGAAGGAGAAAGGCAGAGCTCCGTCTTAGAGTGACTGGACGCCACGTTTGAGGCTTTTCGTCGCCTCTCTGTCAGCTGAGATCTGTGGCCAAAAGACCTGTCTAGGGTAAGGCTCTTGGAGATGTCCGAAGTTGCTGAGACCTTAGCTGGCTCAGAGGCCCGGCGAGGGAGGGTCTTCCTTCCTTTGTGACCTTCCACCGTAGGAGTAAGAGAGTGGGATTTTGGCCTTTGGAGGACCAGGGAGGTGGGAGTCTGTCCATAGAAAACACTCTGTGGGGGCCGAACCCTCTCATTTCCTGACACTCTCTGAGAGACCTCGGTTCCCATCAGTTTGGGATTGTCGGATGAGGTTGGGCCGGAGTATTTGTGAGTGCAGCTCCCGTCATGAAGCTGCCTTAGCTCTTTGACAGTCAGAGGTTTCTCCGCCCCTCTGTAAAAAGGAGAGCGGTTACGCTGAAGCTGAATGAGAGCCTGTTGGTAGGACGGAGGGCTGCTTGATCGCCGCTGGCAGTTTTTATTTGTCACTGCGGGATCGTCGACAGCGACCAGGGAACCGCTACTGGCTGAGTTCCCGTTTACCACGGGCATGTCCTCCAAGTGTCCACTATCAGGTTGTCGTAGAGACAAGCTGCGGTCCTTTTTAAGCCAGGTGTTTGGGTGAAGCCCGTGTGATTGGGAGGAAGTTTGGTTTCCCCGAGGGGGAAGGACGGTTGATTGCCAATGAGGGAGGGAGTCCCTGTGAGGAGGGGAGTCTCTGGGCGACTGTGGAGCAGCTGCACCATTCAGGGCATAGTCAGTGGAGTACTGTGAGAAGGCAGAGTCTAAAGAGCTGAGGGAGGATCCTGTTGGGGAAGTGGCTGGTGACGACAGACTGGAACAACTGGCATCCAGCCGCAGCGGAGGCGGCGGCGCGTGCTTTGTCTTCCTCCGACCGCCGCTGGGTCCTCTCTGATCACACCTGTCCTTCTCCTCTTCGTTTAGCTGCAGTCTGTTCAGCCCCTGCTCCACAAACACCTCATCCTCCTCTCCTTCTCCCTCCATCGCTGCATCATAGCTTGCTTTCCTCAAAGGCTGGTGGTGGTTATCTGTGTGAACCAGCACAACACTAGAGGATGCAACATTTGCTAGAGCCAAGGCAGGCTCAGAACTTCTCCTGAGCCTTCGGGGTCCATTAGACGAGCTGCTGCAGGGCTGGCGCACAGCGGGGCTAAATCTCCTTGGTCTAGCAAGAGGTGGAAGCTGCAGTAGGTGGTCGGTGTCAGGGTCAGGCTCAGGGTCGCCATCGCTCAGGGTGATCACTGAGTCTCGGCTGCGGCTTTCCGGCTTGGCTTTTTCACGAAGCAGCAGTTGCTCCTGGTAGGGGGACTCGGGATCATCATTCAGCTCATTCTCGAGACTGTCGTAGCATGAGTCATTCATTTGGAAGGAGGAGACATCTGGGAGAAAATAGATTAAAAGATGTAAAATATCAAACATAATTGGTAGTAAAGAACAAAAAACATACTTATACATGTAGGAGTATAAATATTACTCATCGGAAACAACCCTGTGCTGAAATTGTTTCTATCAAGCTTGAAATCTGCGTTTAGGACCTGGGGGTGTATTACAGTATAACATTTATGTTGTGATGCCTAGCCTTTCATCAAATTCTTGCCAATTTTTACCCCGATAAGAGGTAACCACTGCCAAAGGAACAAAAGCAAACATTTTTTGGGGAATATTTTAACCTAGCACTAGTTTAGCCATGCCCCTAATATTTTTATGCATTCTAAAGAAGCTAAAATCGATTTAATTACCAACAGCTGCTGGAGCATCGGTTGCAGCCATTTTTTCTTTAATGTACGCACCAACATGCTAAATGTGGCTGAATTTCAGCACTGGCTGACAAGCCACTACGATGGTTTGATTCTCATATAAAATATTTAATTGTAATTTAGTTAAATGGAGTAATAAACAAACTGAAATGTGACATGATGACACTAAAACTCTGATGAGCGGCTCATGTGCATGTGTGCGTGTTTGCTTATTGGTCCCTTCAGAGGTCACTTTAGACAGGCAAGAACCCTGTGAAGAACATGTGAAATGGTGGAGGTGCTAATGTCCTAGAACATTCAACGTATCAGAATATATGTAGAGCAGACAAAAAGAAAACATGAGAGTGAAACGAGGGAAGGCAAGATAGTAGGAAAAAAGCCATTTAATGAAATGTGGGAGAAGGCAAGTCAAGAACGGGAAGAACAAAATTAAGTGATCTGATTTTTTTTCCTGAGTTTTATAAATTCTCATTCCCTTGCAGATACGTTTTCTGCTCCAAGTTACTATAATATTTAATCCTAAACATTGAAACAGTGACTTTTTTTACACTTACGTTTTTTTTCTAAACTTAATCCTCTACTTCACTGTACCGCTTTTACTATGGGATGAGTAATCATGCTTCTTTTACTTTTTACACTGCATATTTCATATAAAAAGTGCTTTAGACAGAACCTTAATGGAGCTGAACACTCAATAAAGACCTATATAAATGTATCATTTGCATTCAGAAGTGTTGTTAATCTAGTTCAAGTACACTTCAGCTCGCCATCTAAGCTTAAATCATATTAAACATAAATTTCCGATACTGAGTGGCTAGTAATGTTGGAAAACCACTTTGGCAAAAAGGCTAATGTCCCGCTCTTCTTGTAACAGTACCTTCTAACAGGGAAGATTAAAAAAATGCCATCTACTGTTGAAGATGTGGAGAACACAGGACAAAGCTTTATCCTGCTGGGGGCTCTTTGACCTCAAGCGGTTATTTGTTTATTTTGTAGTTTGTGCTATGTTTGAAAGAGGGGATTCATCTGGATTTTAATCAGCACCTGTGACCCTGGCAGTCAGTGAAATTAGGGGAGGTCAACCTGTTGACCGCAATCAACGGGACTGAAAGAACCTAGACGACAGGGCTAGACACACAGAGACAGTAAGTCTCAGTCTATATCACTTGTAGGAAGAACAGAGTGAGGCTTTATTGCTGCTTTCAAAAAGCAAATAAATGTTTTAAAAATCACAGTGAGTGAGAAGTTGCCCCACTTGTATGTTCGAAAATGGGACTAAAAGCATTTAGGATTGAAAGTGATCACATAAAAACTTGGAAACGCGGCTTCCATCCGTCTTTTTCCTTTTTTTTTTAGCCTGCTGACTCAGTTCTTACCAGATCCATGGTCGCTATTGCTCTTCTGGCTGATGTCTTTGAACAATGAGGCAACGTCTCCCAGGATATTGCTGCAGTTCTCTATGAGGAAGCGCACAAGCTCACACACCTGCAGAGAAATAAAGACATGTCGGTTAAATCACATCATTGCTCGCACATCAGCATTTTCTTTCTCTATTTAGGCTTCATTTTGCAGCTGACAGCTTATGTTTTCATTCCTCTTTAGACACATTGAGGGATAGTTGCTGTTTATTGTTTCAGTTGTTCTATCAGTTCATTTTAGGGAAGCAGCCAAAGTTCAGCAGAAATTGAGCCAACATGCAGTTTCAAAGTTTCTGTGTCAGCACAAACTGCAAAGTCAAACTCCTGTAGAGATCACGTAGTCTGACCGCCACAGTCGGAAGAAATTTGTAAAATAAAACTCTATCACTATTACTGATACAAAGAAAATTTTGCTCTTGCAAAATGGTGTCACTGAAAACACACCCTTCATTTTTTTACTGTCTTTTGAAACCACCATGTACTGTATCTACCAAATAATGTCATTGAAAGTGTATAACTAGTTTCTTTAATGTAATATAAGCTGTCCGATTCTTAAACTATGATAAAGTATTTACTCAGTTATTGACATTCATGCCAAGGTGAAAAAAGGGGGGAAGAAAAATTCATCAGCTATCAACTTTTTTTATAAGTCTGTTTTAGAAGTCATCTTTGTTTTTGTTTTTTTGACCAAAGAAAAATTACAGTTACATATATCTCAATTCAGTTCAGTTTATTTATATAGCGCCAATTCACAACTCCTGTCATCAATGCACTTTAAAGAAACTTTTTAACTTGGATGGACATCAAAACTAACGTTTGCACCACTAAAGCAGAAGGAAAGACTCAGATCTTCATTCAAAGTTTTACACAAAGGGCCTCTAGCATTAACACTGCACTATGATCTTTGAAAATATTTGGAAGCTGAACTTTTGTGCAATCATTTTAAGAAAACTGTTAAATATGTAAAAACATTTTCATCTTCAACTACTATTTCTAATATTAATAGTACTTTACTTATAATCAGAATCCTAAAGGTAAACCTCAATGGTGTAGACAGAGAGGCTGCATAGAGTAGTATGACCAAGTAACACAAAACTGGGACTCTGAAACAACTTTCTGTAGCACTTTCATTATTCTCTGAGGGAGGTTTGTATGAGTGGCATACATGGTGTCTCAGTATTACAAAAACTGACCAGTGTCATGAAAAACTGTTATGGGGCTATAGCGTGCGAGTGAATTTTGTCATAGAATACAGAGCACATTTAGAAGAGTGTGGCTTCGCTAATACTATATATTTTGCATTTTTTTCTAAAGCAAGAAAGACAATTGATCTTGAAATCAAGACTATTTGTATACATTGACTCTTTTAGAGTTATTACAACAACAACTGGAGTAAAATATACACTACGTAGACTGTATATCTAATTTAACACTGATTTAAATGCAAAATTTACTGTGTAAGAGGTTTGAAACAGCCACGAAATGGCTCTATTTTGACCTTTCAGACTATTTGTGCTGCACTGACATCAAGTCTTTCGAGGGTATTTGAATTCCATAGCTTGCATTACACATTAAGTTCCCTTCCTGTAATGCTTTCATCCCAGTTCTGGATAACATCCTTGTGATTTCATATAAAACTGTTTCTAGCTTGTACACTTGCAGACGTTCTCCTTGTCTCCTTGAAGCCACGAGTAGCATAATATAAACTTGAATGCTTCACAGTGAGGTGAGTCATACGATTTCTGTTTACTGGGAGGATGGACATTCCAACAAGGTGAGGTTTTTGTTGTAAAACGGGCCAGCAGTGTCTTTGCTTTGCTATCAGCTTAGACTTCAAACAAATCACAAAAACTTGTCTGAAGCAACTGCCTCTTAAACTAAACAGGGAAAATTTACTAAACACCAAAGACATCGTTCTAAACAAACATCAGAGTCTCAAACTCTGGAAGTCTCCACTGAAATTTGCTTGTTGGGTTTGTACGAGAGTTATTTCCGCTGCGCTGCCTCTGTGACAAATGCGGTGGAGACAAATATATACAGTGACTTGCAAAACCCATTCAGAAACATTTAACATTTCACACACACACAAAAAAAAACCTAAATTTACTTTACTGGGATTTTATGTGATCTTTTCTTTCATATAAAAATGTTAACTGTGTTGCAGGTATTTCTATTTAGCACCTTTTACTCTAATACTCTGGAAAATTCCAGCACAACCCTTGTCATTTTACACCTAGTTAGTACCCTGAAAGTTAGAATTATGATTCGAAAGTCAAGGCAAGACGACCAAACTCAACTTTAGCAATAAAGCTGAATGCTGAATGTCAACAGTAATTAAATGTTCTTGCTTTGACTGTATTGTTCTTATTTATGCTACCTTTAGTCAGTTGTACATGTTTTATTTTTCAGTGTTTATAAGATTTGACGTTTCAGTCCTGTTTATGTGCACAACCAGAAATGGGAATGCCGTCACCTAGAACAGGGGCAGGCATCGTTGGCTCCTCGTGTGCCACTACCCTGCAGCTTTTGCATGCATCCCTGCTCTAACACACCTGAAGTGAAGGCCCAAATTAAACCCCTTGGCTTTTTGGTAAGTTTAACAGAGGCCTGGCCGCTGGCCATTTATTTGTTTGAGGTGTGTTGAAGGAGCAGTGCATGCAAAAACTGCAAGACAGTGGCACTCAAGGACCTATTTTGCCCCTCCCTGACCTAGAAGATTACATTGAACTCCAATTTGTAGGTCTTAGATAAATGGAAAGCAGAAATACAGATGTAGGACATGGAGATGATAGTTTGAAGAGGCCAGGATAAGATGGAGGCAGGTGTCTGTTGAGCGTTACAGCCCAAGAAGTTCTATGACAGACACATTTAGATTAGACAGGTAAGAAAGGTCAGGGAATAAAATATAACAGTTGCAATGCATTGCTTGATATAGCCTGTACTTTTTAATGGCTCTTTATTATGATTAATTTGACCTTAAAATCTCATAAACCTGCTTAGAAAAAGCCTTTCAGGAAACCTGGAGGTCTTAATGTAACAATGCTGTGTTTTACTGTACAGCTGCCTGCAGATCTAAGGGATTAGAGGGCAATTTATGAATAAATGTCCGAAACCAAGAAAGAGGCTTTAAATACAACTATAGAAGGAGATTGCTGGCATCTTTCCTTTGTACAAACATAAAAAAAGTGAATTTTAACATCGGAAAATATGTTTTAAGGATAATAGCTGGAATACAATTCCAATCGGGCACTGAATGAAGTCTGTAGGCTACTACAGACTTGTAATACTTTTACAAGGAGAGGAAAGCCAGAAATAATAAAAGTGCCAGCAATGATAGGAGGCATTTAAACGTATGGTATAAATAATTAAAAATTTATTCATTTATAAAAACATTTCAGAAACTTAGTTATGCAGCTTTAAATTAAGACTGTAAAGGATAAAGGAAACGCAGCTAAATATCTATTTGATATTATTGGTGTCTGTTTAGTTTCACTTTAATGCTTTCCTTCAGCTCATCCAGAATACCTTCCTGTCACCAAGTCAAAGCTGCTACGTGATAAAACTCACTACTGGAAAGAGCCTATGGGCATCCAGGACTCTTTCACCTTTCCATCCGTCAGCAACCGATTAACAACTACTCCTCCTGTAGCTCAGCTGGATGTCATCTTTACGTCTTACAAGCACAGAAAATATTTTTTTAACAAGCTGGTTTCACGAGGACACGTGCGAACGGTGCCCGGGCAAAGAACTTTCGTCATCTTTGAACCGTGTCACCTTTGGTCACGTGGCCCTTCAATACCTGTCATGGAGTGTCTTCAATTGGCATAAGATGCTGCGTCTTTCGGGAAGAGATAGGGAAAGATTTGCAGCTTCTGGGGCAATTACAGCTGCAAATCTTTGGAGGTGTATCCTCACCACATTACCTCATCTAGATTCTAAAATATTTGTTCATTCTTCTTCTCGAAATTTTCCATCATATCAGCAAAAAGTGATTCTTTTAGTCTTGCAATTAATTCTCAGACAAAACATTGAATTGCATGATGCTGCCATCACCATGATTCAGCCTGGGGATGTCCTTATCAGATTTGGCTTCAGCCATATGTTTTTTTTTATTTATTTAAAAAAAGAATAATATATATATTTTTTAACAATCTTCTTCTGAAGATGATCAAAACAACAGTAAGAGCCTTTTCAAGATCTGGTGCAAGGCAGACCCCTACAGAAGATCCTTCCAACACCTACAGCTCTTAGCACCTAGAAGAAATTGTAGAAGAATTGCAAATAAGTTACTTAACTTTCCCTTTGGGATTAATAAATCAATATGAATGGAATTGAAAACTCTTCCACAATCTACTCTTCATGCAACTTTTAGGTTGGTCAATGCATTTGGGATAAAAAAAAAAAACATGTTTTCCTTCAAGTTACTGATATGCTACTTTATGTAGGTATAACACAAAAAAACATTTGCAGTTTCTCAATTCACAAGAACGTGATTACGGACTTGTGTCCTCGGCAAGTATGTTCTTGAGAAGAACACAGGAAAGTATGGACTTGGTGAGAACGGGAGCCTGCAGCATAAATATAGGTCAACTGGAACAGAAGTGTACTTGTGACATCACCAAACGCTCAACTGGTCTAGAGCTGCATTTCTCCTCCTGTTATTAATAGTCTCTTGATAATAATAAATTCAGATTTTTTTCATTTAGTGGGGGAATAATAATTAAAACAGTCAGATAAACACAAATCAAATGAACATTTTGCCAAAAAAAAAAAAAAAAAAATCGCCATTAGTGCCAGCGGTCCTTCACACACGGCAATGCAGAGAGAGGGCTGCTGCCGACGGGCTAGGATTAGACCTGGCTGTCGTTACCCTCGGAGGTCCGCTGGTTGCCACAGTCCTCTCAACTTCAGATATAATTTAAATTATGCATTAAATTGGTAAATGGGTCATATAGTGACGCTTAAAGGTATAATGTTCTCACCTCAAATTATCTTAAAACGTACTTTTATAGAACGGCAACTGAAGAGAGAACTCTTAACTTAGTACTCTGAGCTCTGAGCGCTCCA